AAACTTATTGGACGGTAGCTAGAAGCTTCAGCTGGATTTTTATCCGGCTTCAAAATTGGAACAACTTTTGCATTTTTCCATTTATCAGGAAAGTATGCCAAATGGAAACATCTGTTAAATAATTTTACCAAGAAAGACAAGGTACTCTCTGGGAATTTTTTGATGAGGGTATAGAAAATTCCATCATCACCTGGAGCTATTATATTTTGAAACTTTTTAGTTATATACCTTACTTCGTCCAAATCAGTCCCGCAGGAATCATCAAAAATATTTTCCCGTGAAAAAATATTCTGATAATCCCGAACAACCTGATTCTCAATAGGACTAGTAAGACCCAAACTGAAATTATGGGAACTCTCGAATAGCTTAGCAAGTTTCTGAGCTTTTTCCAAATTTGTGATCAAAATTTTACCACCTTCTTTAAGCGCTGGAATAGGCTTTTGAGGTTTTTTCAAAATTTTGGGTTTGGAACTCGGGTCTAATTTAGAAACATTATTTTCAAAAGTTTTGTTCCTCAGGGCAGAGAATCGCTTTTTAATTTGTTTTTGCAAATCCCGCCAGATAACTTTTATGGCAGGATCGCGTGTTCTTTGATATTGTCTCCTGTGGACATTTTTAAGACGGATCAAGAGCTGAAAATCATCGTCTATTATAATTGAATCGAATTTAACCTCGCATTTTGGTACTGAGGCAGCTCTTGCTTCAACTATAGAAGTAGTCAGAGATTCAAGAGCATAATTAATTTCATCTTTGGTTTGCAAAGAAATGTTTGGATCGAAGTTATATTCCATAAATGTTCGATATTGCTCCCAATCAGCTCTATGGTAATTGAAAGTAGAGCTGTTGGGATTAGAAATTATTTCTTGGGATATTTCAAAAGTTACTGGAAGATGATCAGAACCGAAGTCAGCATGGGTAACCAATTGGCTACAAAGTTGACATGAATCAGTTAAGACCAAATCAATAGTGGAGGGATTTCTTGCAGAAGAAAAGCATTTTGGGCTGTTTGGGTATTGAATAGTGTGATAACCTGCAGAACAATCATCAAACAGAATATTACCATTGGAATTGCTTTGAGCATTATTCCATGAGCGGTGTTTTGCATTAAAATCACCAATAATGAAGAATTAAGACCTATGACGGATAAGATTCTGGAGGTCACCCTTGAGAAAATTCTTTTGCTGGCCTACGCATTGGAATGGCAAATAGGCAGCTATAAACGTAAGATGTCCAAATTTTGTTTCAACAGAAACTCCCAAAGTTTCAAAAACTTTGGTTTCAAATGAAGAAAGTATTTTATGTTTGATTCGTCTATGAATAATGATGGCAACGCCACCACAGGGTCCATCAAGACGATCATTTCTATAAATTAAATAATTGAGTCCTTCTTAACCTTATGGCCAGGTTTAAGGAACGTTTCAGTTATAACGGCAATATGCACGTTATGAACTCTCAAAAAGTTAAATAGATCGTCTTCATTATCTTGAAGAGATCGAGCATTCCAATTTAAAATGTTTAATGCTTTAAAATCCATTACTGAATTTTAAAGTCATGACAATATTAGTTGCAAATTTGACTCCAGTTTGAATAGCATCAAACATGGAGTTAGATTTAAGCATATCAGAAATCATGTCAATTAATGAATTCCGTAAAAATTCCATTTTAGGGGCAGTATTGCTTCCTAAGTCAAAATTGTCCAAATTTCCGTTAGAACGTTGGTTAGTATTTTGATTTCTACCGGCTGCAATAGCAGCATAGGTAGCTCCATTAACTCGTTGAACATTGTTAGCAGCGAGGGGAGTAGGTACAGATGAAACATTTGAAGCAGGTGGGATATTTGTACCTACGGGTACGAATGTAGAATTTGTTCCTCGCTGACCGTTGTTAACAGCAGAGGAATTTGTACCTGGTCGGAAACGTGGAGCGTTTCCTACCTGACGGTTAGAACGAGATTGTAGGATCGCTTTACGAGTCTTACATTCCCAAAAATTGGATTTGTGGTTTTCACCACAATTTGAACATTTAAATTTCTTAGGATCTTCCTTCATAGGACAGTCGTCCTTTGCGTGAGAGGAATCACCACAATTCATGCATTTAGCTGGCATGTAGCAATTTTTAGTTCCGTGACCCCATCCCTGGCACTTCCGGCACTGAGTGAGGTTTTGGAAATTTCCTCCAGTCTTCCTGAAGTGTTCCCACTTCACTCGGACATGGAGCATAAGGCTAGCTTTTTCTAAGGCCTTAAGGTTGTTTAGTTCACTAGACTTGAAGTGAACTAAATAAAAATCATTAGAAATCCCGTTGCGCGAATCGCCAGGACCGGATTTCATTTTCATTTTGATTACTTGGAGTGGCACAACTCCAAGTAATTTTGCCAGTTCATCTTTGATCTGATCCAGGGATTCACCACTGGGCAGTCCTTTCATGACAACCTTAAACACACGTTCAGTTTTGGTGTCGTAAGTAAAAAATTTGTGCTTCTTCTCAGTAAGATACTTGAGAAGACATTTAAATCCGTCCAAGGTTTCAGCCAATACACGGCATTCACCCCGACGTCCAATTTGTAGTGAAAACTTAACTTTCACGAAATTCAAAAGTTCCATGCGAAGAGCATGGAAATCGGTAGTGGTTATCACAATAGGGGGAATCTTTTCCTTCTTGGCATTAAGCCGGGAAAGTTTACTAGAATTTTTCTTGGATGATGGATCATTCTTATCATCCGTGAGCAAATCAAATTGATTACTCAAATTAATTTCATCAGAAGGGGGGTCAAGAGTTTGCCCCTTTCTTTTGCGTTTAGGCGCCATGGCGGCAGTAAATTTTTATCCAAATCGACTTCCAAGCAGATTACTACAAGAATCTGAAGGATCGAAGAGGAATTTTCCAAATCGATATCCAAGAAGGATTACCTCGGGTAGGGTCCAAACAAGGATCGAAGAGGAATAAGAGTTGAACAAGGTAGAAATTTTTTTTACAGGTTGATCACTGAAAAGTGCTGTTTAAATTTGTTGTAGCTTTAGGTAGTAGAAACACTTCCTTAAGCAAAAAGCAAATAGATCTGCACGGCAAGAGAGCACCATGCGGACTGATGACATATATCAATTTTGCGTAGTTACGTCATACGTCTACGTTCAGCGTTGAATCAATTGCAGCCCGTGAAGTGTACTGGTATCCAATTTAACGTACGTCTCGTCGTCCATCAAAATGCACCGGTTCGCCTTTTGAAGGAGAACGTCATACAAGTTCCGTGACCGTATCTTCGAAGCAGCTTTCTGTGAATCTGTCCTTTTGGGTGCTTTTTTATTCTTGTAGGTTCTGATATTATGCGTTTTTTGATATTCTGCACAGTTCCGACGCTAATGTCCAATTTTTTGGCAATTTCACGAACGGAACACGGTTGATGCGTACTGCTGCCAGCGCCTTTTTCTGGTCCGATAGGGTAGAGCGCTACTTCGTCGTAATCGCCCATTTCCGTTCTATCGATCAGAAAAGATCAATAATATCAATTATTTCACCGTACACAAATCAATAATAGGTTTGTTCCGATGCGTTAGTTCATAAGGTACATCGTAAACCCAGTTAGAGCGCATTATATGAATATTTACGCTCATTGTTCTCAAAACAAAAGAAGCGCTCCTAGCTAATCCCCTTTTTCTACGTTAGTCCGTAGGACGAAGGAAATCCAATAGCGTTTCAATGCGTTAGGACGGAATTGAAACTCGTAGAACGAATTTCGAAATCCAGAAGCAGTATTAGATTTTAAACAATATCTCAGCAATTGGTGACTCTTTATCAAATCCAACGGGACGTATGGAAAGGTGAATAAATTTAGAAGACATCTTTGACAGAAATATTCCATTTTTTTGTTTAAACTCGTTCTGAAAAGAGAAGTAAAGCGCGGATTGTGCTTAGTAGGACGGAAATTAGATCAAATACTCTAACCTCTTTTTGCGCCTAAATTTCGGTAAATCTTCAAGAGAACACGTTTCTCCAAACTTCTTAACAATATCGAACATTGTAGATTTATTACACTTCACGCTTTCTGCCAATTCTCGACACGACAACTTTTCGGAAAACCATTTGTGCAGAATTAATCAGCGAGTTGATAAGCTGACCCGACGCATCATTCGAAATTTCTCGCTTTTTTTTTAGGTTTGTTGCCAAAATACACAATTTATTTAAATAGTTCCAGTACACCGAAATTGATGAAATTTAGAATTTCGGTTCCATTTTTAGAGCAAATTACGAATATGTATTTACCTCAATACCCCTAAGCAACCCAATTGAAAAAAAAATGTGCGAAACCTCCACTCATCATTCTGCTCCATGTTCTTCCAAAAGGGGTTATTTCCATTTTATCCCTGTTCCAACCAATCTGCTCACAGCATTGAGCATTTTTCATTATCAGGACCGTCGTTCACTTCAATTGCAATGGTTCATGCTATATTCCAGCTATAGTTCTATATCCTCGTCAAGTTGCAGTGTTTTATATTTATTCTGGTGTGTGCATGCATAACTGCCGACTGACGACAGTGGGGGAACAGGCGAATGAAAGTTTCTCTTTTTCCGGCGATTCTTCGATTGTATTTGCCTCTCCAGCAGCAGTGTGCCCCGGCAACACAAAGCTTGCACGTCTCTTGGGTTTCAGGATGGGTGAAGTGTTTGTGTTATGTATTGCAGCAGTTTTCCGGAACTTTCGGGATCAAGATTTTTGCAGCATGCATGTGCTCTGGAGCACATTCTTCCAGAGTGCAGACGTCAAGTGGCATACATTGTCGGTATGGAAAACTCTTCTGGGGGCTGGGGACATTGTGGAAAAATCCGATTATTGAATTTTGTTTGTTTACATCGATCGTCAATGCTTTGCTTCTTGATTTATGCAAGCTCTGTAGAGACAGGTTTGAGAATATTTAAATAAAAAGAAACTATGTGATGCTCTATTAGATTATAAAAATATTTCAAACACAAATATTTATATATTTGTTTTCTCTTCTTTCCAGGAAATGAAGCAATAAGGTAAGCCAACAGAATGTCAAGTTAAATGTCTCGTTTGAAGCACAATTACCTCGACAAATGTGTGTACTTGAATTGTATGCAACATTCCCCCGAAATTTAAAAAAAAAAAACATCCGTATCAACTTTTCTTCAGTATCTCAATAAATCTATAAAAGTACCACTTGTACCAACAATGCCATTAGGTCGTAAAATGCGACGCGTATACATTTTATTATGTAGCAGGTACCGTTCGAACGCGGATAAAAAGCAATCAAGTTGTTTTTCTCACCATCATCATTGTGGGGATTGCCTGGGCACGAACGAGATTTCTGAACACAGGAAAAAGAAGAATTACAAACTCACGTCCCATTGAATGTCGAGCACAACCTCTGGTAAAAGCTTTCACAAGTCCGAAAATCGTACATTTTATCGTACGAGACATGTACAAATTTGCAAAAGTGTACGTTTATCAGTTTCTCACAAGTGAAGAACTCGAATTGAATTGAAATTGGCATCACTTTTCGACTAAATACTACATTATTTTGTTGGCCCATTTTTTATTCCCCATTAAATAGTACCACTCCATTTATACCAAATAAAGGAAGGTAGGTTTATTCTGTTCGTGGCTTCTAATGTGAAAAAAGACAGGATTCTAGTGATCAACTAAAGGAAAACTACGCACGTTATCTAGATTTGTCAATGTCAAAAATGACTGAACCTAGGAAGATTTTCAGGGGATATAATGGAAACTGATATGTGTCACTTATCTAAGGTTGCACGTATTACACGAACATTTTGGCTATTGGTCCCTTAATTTTCTATTTGAAGAGGTCTCTGTACAAGTTAAGGCTTTCATCCTGAGGCTGGTTCGCCTCCGATCATTGTACAAATCAGTTGTTCATTTGAGAAGAAATGTAAAAAAAAATGAGCCTTCAACTTGTGAGTTCATTAGCATTCAGTTACCTCTTCTAGCACAGCTTGATTCAAGCTATTTTTTTTGTTTATTAATTTATTTGATAAGGCTCAACCGAATTAACTTTACAGAGCCGAGTATTCTTGGTCACTCTATAATACATCTTAAAACTATAGTCAAATGGTACAACACAATAAACACTTTATCTTTCGCTATCCAAAAAGCCTCCTCCATCAGAACTGGAGCCGCTTCTAGTAGTTTCATTGTATGGCAAATTGTTGTACGCCAATGCGGGTCAGAGCGCGTCCATTGCAGCAATGGACGCAAAACGTGGTCAGCACTCACACACTCATCACGAAACGGTTGATTTCCAAAGTCGACGACGCATCGACTGAAAGAACTGCTGATGAAGAACAATGAGGAGGACCACACAATGGTTGCTGCCGAGAAAACAGACGATCGCGTAGCACACATCGAGAGTAGCCTGCTTTTGTCGACAGCCGAGTGAACACTGATTCAAGCTATGATATGCACACTTCGGAATCTTCATGTAATTTTAAGTCTCCTAAGACCGACACATGTAAGCGACTTAAATGACACACAATTACGTCCGTTAGTATTTTTACATGTCGTGAAATGAAGCAAAATTGTAATTTTACGCATTCAAGTTTGTTGACATGTAAAATTATAATGAGACGTATTTTTCAGATGCCTACGGAATGTTCCGTCTAATGGCTATAGGAAAAGGGATTTACATTACAGATTTAACCAAATCCGCAATTTCGAATTCCTGCACAACATGTGAAAAGATGCAATGAATTAAATGTGAAAAATGACTTTAAACGTCCATGAAAATTCCCAAGGATTTTAGAGGAAATTTTAGAATGAATTCTAGAGATAATAAGGCAATGGAGTATTTGGAAGTATTTTTAAAAAGTTTTGACTACAACGCCAAGTCAATTTTTTAAGTTCAAAGAAGAATTCTTAGGTAATTCTATGTGAAATTACATGACGATTGTGAAGTTGTTAATGAATATTCTAAATAAATTCCGAGAAGAATGTAAAAAACTGAGAACTTCAAAGAAATTTCGAGAGTATTGAATTCTGAGGAAATTAGAATCAAGTGAATTCTGATGAAAGTTCCAAGGGATTCGAGTTTTCAATTAAATGTCTAAACCATTTGTTTTGTCAATTGAATAGAACAGCAAAATAATCTCGTAGTTTTACGTGCTTTGGACACAATCCTCAACTTTTTTTTATGAAATGCATGCTGCCATTGTTTCCCATCCATGTCGGGACCCAATCAGCACACCACTCGTTCGATGATCATTCGTTCAATGCTGTTGGTGATTTCTTGCTCAAGCCAAGCCAGAGGCATTGCCAGGAATGTATCAAAGCTTGTTTACAGTAGGGAATGGCTCAAATGGTCTTAGTTTTCGGCAGATCGATTTCCCGTTACTGGTTCGGGGTTAGTAGGATGACATATGGATTAGGAAAGCGGTTAGGATGGTTCACAAATAAATAGCAAAACTACTAACAGAACAATAAAGCATTACGTACACTCTGAGTGCAAACAGTGTACCTTAGGTATAAAATACGATAGGAATTATTATAGCTCATGATGTCAACAGTCAGAGTACCAAGCCTGAAAACTACGTGTCGATGCCAAGAAGTTTCAGTTTTTCGCATATATTTTTGAGAAAATTTAAATTTAAAAACATTTTTTCTACCTCATAATGATAAAAATTTGGGCTCTAATCAAAACCAATAGATCGATTTTTGAGGTGTTTTAAGTCCTACTTTTTACCATGATTACGTAGTCCCGGATAGCGATCTGGCATCGGTTCTAGGAAAATACGGTGATGTGAAGCGTGTAGTTCGGGAGAAACTTCCAGCCGCCTTTGGCCTCGATATGCTTACAGGTGTGCTGAGTGTGCTGAGTGAGTGTGCTGATATGGATGTAAAAAAGGTGATTCCCAACTCACTGCATTTCCTGAATCGAAAGGGGGAACAAATATTTGTATGTCCATTGTAAGACGGAGGGGCATCGGATGAAATCCTGGCCCAAGCGGACTAGGGACAATGAACCAAGTTTTTGCCGGAACTCGGCCATTTTGACACTCGCTTAATTTTTCAAACTGATGAATTCGGTATTTTCAATGAATCATAGCACAAAAACGGCTTATTTAATCGAAATGACGTCTGACACAAAGTTGTAGGAAACTGGTTTGCCTTTTCAGAAAAAAAATACATACTGAAGAAAATCAAAAAATTTTCATCAAAAAATTAAAAAAAAAACATCTTTAGCAAAGAAAGTTTATTAACCCAAGCTTATTTGAAAGCTTATAAAAATGAAATCTTTTTTTTAAATGCACACCATCAACCAAAACCGTAGAGCATCATCTAAATTTTGAGCTCGCTCATTACCTCTAGTGAACAATTATACCAAGTTTCATGGAATTCGAAGAGGTCAAATCGATATTTTATTTTTTATTTATTCAGAGGTTGGCCTGGGACTGCTCACTAATCAACGCTAAGAACCTTGGTGAATTCGGGTACTCTTGGATCTTTTAAAACATACAAAGCAGCTAGGGCTTTATATCTCCGGAACACTCAAAACTGTGGGAACATTGAGAATCCTAGAACCTT